AGGGAATGGGGTCGGCTCAACCGTTCCATACACGGTGACAAAGCACCTGCGCTGCAAAGTCTGCCTGTGTCGTAGTCAGTTCAGTCGTGACTCCCCAGTACACGACCGATCGATTCTCGATAAAGGTCAGGTAGCATCCGTTCATCCATCGAAAGCCCCTTCGTTGTCAGCCATGATAGAACCCCCTTGTCTTTTGCTTCCTCCAAGCGAATCAAGGCTCTCTTCTTTGAGGTTTCCTGGGATCCTGCTTTTTTCAAGCCTGTTACTACCATATGGCGGACTGCTGCATGAAGGGGCTTCGACAGGACGGCTTGAGCTCCGAAGACTTGATAGTACCGGCCAAATTCATTTCGCCCGCATGTCGACGGAGATGGTGGTTCCTCGTCAGGGTTGTCGTCTCCATTTTGTCTCTCGGCTACGACCTTCCCAGCCTCCATGAGATAAACTCCTCGAAGAGTGGGAAATGTAACCAGTTTAGTCCATGACTGACCAACAGCTCTTTCGAGCTTGTCTTTGGTGATGATCTCTTTTAGTTTCTTGAGGGAGTCAATCAGAGCTAATCCTGTTGGTAGCTGTGCAAGTTGCGGTAGGCATTGTTCAATGGTGAGTCCTGTTGATGCCTGCACTGACTTGGAGAACACTAATGCTTGCCCTGCCACAAAAGCCGATTCTCGAATGAGAACACTGCTCGTAATTCCAAGCCCCCCTTCACGTATGGGCAGGTGCACCTGTGCCCGAGCTGAATCTTTGAAGAAGTCGACCTCACTCTTCTCTGGGTTTGCGCGTACCTCTTCCACGGTTGGAATTCCCACAGTGTTTGCCATTTTGCCGAGAACGATCTTGCTTACTGCCCATATCATCAGGTTGTCATGTTCTCTTGCGGCAGTGTTGGTAATGCTCGGTGCAATCGTTCTCAGCAGATGAAACAAGCGTGGAACGCCAGACAAACGTAGCAGTTGGTAGCTCGCTTGCGGGTCGTCAAGTGTGGAAAGGCGGCGTATCAACTCAGCAGGGTTACCGCGGGCGAAGTTGGTGACGAAACTCCTCTGGAAGCACTCTGTCCCTACTGGGACTCCAACAATGGCCATACCACCTTCAGCAACCGAGAGACCCGTTTTCGTCAAATCTCGCTGTTCGTCGTTTGTCAAAGAGGAGAAGAAGAATCCTTCTGGGAAGAGGACTTTCGATTTCGGGAGGCTGAGCTCAATGCCTTTTTGCAGCAGGTGGTCTTGGATCCAGTTGGTTACGGTGGCGATGGCCTGAATATTTCTAGCCAAACCTGGTGGAAGATGCACTTGGAGGTCGTCGACGTATCCAATGAGCTTGGCTCCTGGCACTGGTGGCTTGTCGTTGAACTCCTTCATCGTGTCAAGAAGCCCTACAGAGAAACCGAACCCTCCCAGATTGCATCCTTGTTGCACTCCGCGCTGTGAACGAACAATCTCGATCGAACCGTCCTCCATTTTGAATTAAAGTTTCGCCTTGGTTCGAGCGTAGATGTTCCCGAAGTATTTCACCAAGTGTGGCGTGTGGGTGGCTACTGCTGTCAGGATGGACGATCGGAGAATGCTGTTGTAAGCATTTCTCCCATCGAAAGATAGGATAGTGCTGCCTTGTTGGTGGCTTAGAGCTGCTGTGGAAGCCACTATCTCTACTCCTCCTGGAACGCCTCCTCCAAACTGGTTTGATGCTTCGAAGATGTCGGCAATCCCTTGCTTGTACTGCCTGCAAAAGCTGCCACTGATGATGCGCCGTAAAACTCCTCCAACTGCGATCGGTCGTTTCTTCTCTCCCAACGCAGAAAGGCTGGCACTGGTGTGGAGGCCCCAAAACAAATCTGGAAGCTCGTCGCCATAGTAGAACACTTTGTAGCTGAAGTCCGCCAGGGTTTCAGAGAAATCATCGCTCATGCCACTAGCTTGGAGATATGAGAACCGTAGACCATCAGGACCTGGAGCACTCTGCGGATTAGCCTTGTTTACCGACTGTTTGATAAACTTGAGCTCAAAAGGTTCCTCAGCTTCGGCGATGAAGTCTATATTGTGCCTTCCTTCACTATCTTCTGCAGCTTTGGTGCTGGAATCCCACGCAGCAGCGATATCTTCAGGATCTTCATCAGGGTGTAAATTTCGGAGGTGCTCCAATGTGACGTTGTTGCGCGGAGATGGTGCTGGGGAGATCAAGGCACTAGCAGCTTTTGTAATCCCTCCTCGTCCATGCGTAAGACGTGTGGCTCTCCTCTGCTGATTACTTTCTGTGTCTGCATACACCTGAAGTCTACGATTCTTCTCGTACAGCAGGAGCCAGGCGATAGGCTCACTAAGGTCACCACTTGCGAAGCGGTTGAATCGGGAGACCCTATTCATCCGTCCGTCAGTCGATCCGTGCAACGCTGGGGTAAGATGAAGCAGCTTGGTCGCTCGGACAAGTTGGAGCTGTCTTTCAACACGTGCTGCCATGCATCTTTCCGCTGCGAGAGGAGACATGTTTGTGCGTGTGTGTGTGCTAAGAGCAATGACTCTGAAACCTTGGCGCTCGGCCGCGCCAACACAATCTCATGCGCGTACCCCCTGGCAGGTCTGCGTTTGGGAAACGAAAGGACGCGTCATTCGAATACGCCTCTTCGTATTTTTTTTTCGCGCTTCGCGCGAAACAAACATAACTAGTTCCCGGGTTGCCCTACCCATGGTCGCTGAACCTGCTTTTGGGCTGCCCGTCTCCCGTCTGCCCTATCTACAATCACCATAGGTTTGTTGTTGTTGTTGTTGTTTCTCACATTAGCTCTATAAAAGAAATATTGGGAGCCCGTGGTCTCAAAACCCGGCATACACAACCCCACGAAGAAACAGAAAAAAATAGGGTACAAAAACCACTCGGAAGAGAAACAAAATGATAGAAAGAAAGACCAGCTACCGCACCAAACGAGAAAGAGCGTCGAGGAGACCGATCAAAATAAAATAAAAGGAGAACGGGGAACGCTTCCCACACCCGCCTACAACGCCGGAGGGTTCCGTGCCGGGTTCCCGCCGACCAGGCATCCCCCGCCCTGCACCACACCCCAGGGGGTGCAGCAAGACGGGGGGCGAAAAACAAACACATATATAT